GCAGTCCGAGATAATTAATCTGCAGTCCATTTGTAAAGGTAATCCATGTCCGACTGAGATGGAAATAGACACAAAAAAAGGCACCAATTCCACCAGTTTTTCAAGTGCTTATTCAGACCCCCCCCCCCGCCCCCCCCCCTTAGGCTAACACGTCGTTTCATCTGCACTTTGTTTTGCATTCATAGCTAATTGAAATGATAATGTGAACCATTTTAGATTTGGGGGCCATTATTTGCATAAGTGCAGAGAATACTGACAGGAAAAAGTGCATGTTGGTAATCTCCGTAATCTCCATCTGTAATGGGCGGCGAATAGGATCTGAAAAGGAAATAAAAAGGTGTTATTTTAACATTTCCAATGTAGCGGCGGTACGGAGGAGGGAGTGAAGGGTGAGATGGAGATCGATAGGGAAGCCCTCGGCGCTGCAGCATTAGCGATGCTGTAAGGAAGCTCCGTCTCTCTCCAAACCCTCTCAACAATCCTTCCTGACCTTTTACTTAAAGAGACGTTTATGCACTTCTCTTCCTCAAGATCAAATGTCGGCCCCCCCCCTCATAACATCCTCTTGATATTTTTCCCTTCGCCTTGGCAGCCGGCTTTTATGTTTGACAGTTTTCTGTGCGTGCAGCAGGACATTCAGTCGAGTCTTTCTCTTTGGGCATTTCAGCCCCATTCTGCCCGTTTCCCTTTCGGAGATTAAACAGCAGCACGGCTGCTTTCAGGTCTTTAGACGTTTTTGTGGGGGGGGGGGATACAGTTTGTGACGTACCCGACTGACAAGAAGAAGACGGCCGTGTTTCAGCGGGTTACTTCCTCATGCATCATCTCAACTCACAAAGATGTTTTCCCAGGCCCCTCGTAAGGTCGAAGTCTGTGTTTGGTCATAATTAAATTAGTTCCCGTTAGGATCATAAATCTCACAGCAATAGGTCATAAAATAGATCATAAAACGCACAGATCGGATCACGGATCAGATCAGCAAATAATGAAAAAAGGGAGCATGTGGAACCTTAGGGAACCCCGGTTATGCTTCTTCCTGCCCGTACCGGTTGTGACTGAACCCAACCTCCACCGAGTGGTACGGTACGGGTCGGGTCGGGTCTGTTAACCATGATTTGGCGAGCGTTTCCACCGCCAACAGTACCCTTACTTGATAGGCGTGGTGTATTCCAGAAAGTAGTGATGACGTCACTTGATAGGCGTGGTACATGACGGAAAGTAGATTGACGTTGTTCGATCGCGCGAAAACTGAAAGCTAACCGCAAACAACAACGGAGGCCGTACAGCCGATCCTGTTCCTGCTTCTCCATATGTGGCTGTTTGTCACAAGGAGACGGCCATCTTTGTTTGAGCAAAGGCCACATGTGTGTTGTCTTTCCCCTTGCGGCCCGCGCAAACGACGACACTCTTTCAACCAATCAACGCTCTGCAGTGAGTCTAGCTCCGCCCTTTAGTACCAAACAACTGTGCCAGGTGCCCCAACGGAAGGGTACCCAAGAAGTGGGACGGTACGGTTCGGATTTTTGGTACCATCAACTTTTGGCAGTGGAGACACAAATAAAAAGGTACCGACCCGTACCGAACCGAACCGTACCGCTCGGTTGAAACGCGCCATTACTTGTTATCTGGCTGAGCAGTAGAAGTGGTCTCGATTCTTTCATTAATTGACATGAGACAAAGTAATCTGGTGAATAGCAAAGTGCCTTCAGAGCACAACCCCCCCCCCCCCCCCCCGGTCGCTCCCCCGCCACACATACACACACACAACAGATGTTTCACGGAACGGCAGCACAACAGGAAGAGAATTGAATTGGATTTGGCCCCGGGTCTAATAGGACATCAAGTGCAAGAGGAAGGCGATAGGGTTTCACACTGGAAGCCCATCTGTGTCCAAACCCACCTACCCAGTGATGCTATTAGGCTGCAATGAGACAAGAGCACCCTGATGCATCGTCGGCCATGATCACCTTCTCAAATGACACCATCAGGCCCGGGGGGGGGCTGCAGAGGAAGGGGCAAAGATGGGCTTTGTTTGATGGCATTCAATGCGTGCATTGTCGTGGTTGGGTTTCATTGCGTTTTAAAGGGGTCGGGGGGGACACGTGGGCGGCAGTCAGGTGACTTGCAGTGACAGACTCACACTCCCCGGGAGGTCCACAAAGGCAACGCTCCATTGTGCCCCAGCAAAGGGCTTTGTGCTGCAGCAACATCCAGCCCCCACCCGCTCCACCAGCAGCCCGTCTGCGCGCTGACATGCGACGAGACGTGTATCCTGTCATCCTCGTGAAAGGAGCGCTCTCAGGAAGGGTGGGGTAGGAAGTCATTCTATGCTGCAGGTAACTATGATTTCAACTGGAATGGTTCCTTCATTTGAACAATAATGGACAAAGACAGGAACACGACGCAAGTAAAGACTAAAAACGTCCCAATAAGTATTATATCTTTTCTGGGTTTATTGTTGTTTGGGGTTCCAGTTTTACCTTTTAAGTTCCTGAATGTGTCCCTGCAGTCCCCCCCCCCCACCGAGAAGCAGTCGACGTGCCGACTCGAGCTGCTTTTAAAAACAGAAAAACAGACCGTTTAGTTTGGAGCTGTTTGACCGGCAGCAGGTGCTTGTGGAACACATGGAGGTCCATTTGTTTAAGAGCCTTGCTCAAGGACACCTCCAACCAACCTTCTTAAGTCACAGCCCCCCCCCCCCACTTGTAACACGCAGCAGGGGAACCGCACGGAGCTCTGATGTTGACATTGGCGGGGCGCGCTCGGGGTCCGTCGCCGTACGCGAGGCCCGTATTGCATCTGGTCCCCCGGAATGCAGACTGGTGAAATATACAGCAACGGGTGGAGCTCGGACCCGGGGGGGGGGGGGGAGGGGGCGGAGCAGATGGCGCCCTGGCGGAGCGGCTGAGGGGGGAAGTTTGCGGATCGCTGTGCGTGTTTGTCGCTCTTAATGTTGATCAAGGCGAGAGTGGCTCCGCTTTACACACTCAGA